CTTGCGACTGACCAGGAGTACCTCTGTCTTGTCTGGATTCAGTTTCAATTTGTTCGCCCCCATCCAGACCGTCACAGTGGCCAAGCACCGGTTCAGGACCTCGACAGCCTCCTTAGTAGCAGGTGGAAAGGAGTGACAGAGTTGAACATCATCTGCGTACAAATGACATCGCACCCCGAAACTCCGGATGATCTCACCCAGCGGCTTCATGTAGATGTTGAACAACATGGGAGACAATATTGAACCCTGAGGAACCCCACAAGACAAAGGTTGTGGGGTTGAACAGGAGTCTCCCAGTAACACCTTCTGAGACCGACCCTCGAGGAATGAGCGGAGCCACTGTAAAACAGTTCCTCCAAGACCCATTCCCGCGAGGCGTCCCAGAAGGATACCGTGGTCGACGGTATCGAAGGCCGCTGAGAGGTCCAGCAGCACCAACAGGGACACACTCCCCCTGTCGAGCTCCCGGCGCAGATCATCCACTAAGGCGACCAAGGCTGTCTCGGTACCATGCCCCGGCCTAAAGCCAGACTGTGCCGGATCCAGATAATCCGTGTCTACCAAGAATGCCTGGAGTTGTGAGGCCACCACATGTTCCAGGACTTTGCCCAAGAAGGGTAGATTGGAAACAGGCCGATAGTTGACGAATTGAGTGGGGTCCAGCTTGAAAGACTAACCTCAGCTTCAATATGTAATAGCCTAGTAAACAAAAAAGAGAATATCCATTTCAGGATACACAACCATCTTATCTGAAGACCTGTAATAGTTTAATAGTTGAATAAATTACTATCTAGTCATCATGCATGTTTGGATCCCAATAAAGGATGGTGAAGAGTGATGGGCCTTTCCTTCTCTATTTTCATCTTCTTCAGACTTTCTGACTGAGCATTTCTTTCCCATTCCCACTGATCACTCAGGCCCTTTCCACACAGCTATATAAAATCCACATTGAACTGGATTATATGGCAGCATGGACTCAGATAATCCAGTTCAAAGCACATATCATAGATTATCTGTCTTTTTATTCTGGGTTATAGAGCTGTGTGGAAGAGTCCTCAGCCACTAATGTGGTGTACTATTGTCAATGTCCCATTGAGCCTTTTCATCCTGGTCCAGTACATAATACTAGCAATGCAAGACTTTGATGATGAAAGTTGCTTTCCCCTCCATTCAAATAGCTAATACAGCAAAGAAGGTCTGTCTCAGATTGAAAACATGGCTGAAATCAAAGTTTTACACCCTTGGTACTGTTTTCTTCGCATGGAGTTATTTACTCTAAATACCAAACTGTGAATTGATAATAACCATATTACTAATGACACTGATGGTGTTATGTGAAAGTCTGGTCCACAGAGCATTGTAGAGAAGACCGCAAGCTAGTGACAAACACCAGCCAAGCAATCTTGTTTTCTTCCCTTAGAAGCGAAAGGTCAATATGAGAATTGCCTTCAGTAAGCAATGAAATACACAGTATCTATCTTGTTGACACCAGTGGGAGTTTTGCTCGTGGTTGCTATGGATGCTGGAGTTCATACCTAGAATGACATGTTTTATTTATTCTATCGCACAGGGAATCATGTTTCCTTTTCTTTGCACATAAACCTTTATATGCTGGCTTTGTATTTGCTAGCTTTGTGTTGGAAAAAATATTATCACAGATTTGGAAAGATGGCTAGTTTAAAGAAATGCTCGTGTTGACAGGTGGTGATAGGGATTTGAAAACGGGTATCTATCTACCAGACACATGGTATCTATGCATAATCTGTAGAGATGTAATTCTGTCAATGTGGGATATGGAAATAATCACTGATTGATTAAAAGTATAGCAGCTTTGTACATATACTTTTAACACTTAAAATCCATATATTTTCACATGTGCTCCATGTCCACAAAACAGCTGCACACATGAAACATCTGTTTCCAGTGACATGTTGGCAATACACTCATATGGCCATCAACTCAGAGTACAAAATGAATACATTTTGCCTGGTAAGGCAAAGGATGAGAAAATAATGGGAAAACAAAGCTGTATTACAAATGTAGGCCAATACTATGCAAATCTCTCCAAAACTCAATGAATGAGACAAAATGATATAATAGTCGGAAACCACCCTAAATATTATTAACCAGGCATGGGCAAATTTTGGCCCTTCGGGTATTTTGGATTTCAACTCCCACAATTCCTAACAACCAGTAAGAATTGTTTGAGTTGAATTTCAAAACACCTGGAGGGCCGAAGTTTGTCCATGCCTGTTATAAACCAATGCAAAACAAGATCTTCAATTTTCAAAGGTAATGTTATGGTTGAGTTTTTATATTCTTTAAGGCAATATTTATTGAGGCAATAAAATTATCTGGCTAACTGAGCAAGTGAAACTTTAATTGGCAAGAAAGCTAAGTGAAGAGATCCTTATACTCTTTATACTCCTTTATAATTTTGCCCCTAGTGCCTTTATTCACATAGATGAGGATTTACTCAATAAAAAATGTTGATCTGTCTGACTTCCCTTCAAACAATAAGATGACTCAGGACACCTTCTGGGTGTTTCATACATTTCTAATAAGATAGCTGAGTGTATTGGATGGAGGAAGTGAACAGAAAGCTACATCACAAATGTCACGAAGGTCTTGTAAATAAATGTAAAAGGACTGAAGAAAAGTGAAAGATGAGGCTGCATTATGAGTGTGACAACATATTTTGTACTAAACTGGAGTAAACATTGTGTAACTATTTTGTTTACTTATGGGTAGAATGCAGGGGAAGAAGTGGTTTACTCTGTAAAAACAAATGAAAAAAATCTCCCTCCAAATGGAGTATACATGTTGAAATTCTATTAGGGCTACTGTAAGTAAGCCTTTCCAGTTTGTTGTTCTCCAGATAAGTGTTGATTTGACTGAATCTGTGGAATTTAACATATACAGGCAGTCCCCAAGTTAAAAACATCCAATTGGCATTTGACTCCTAGTTACAAACAGGGGCAAGACAACAAGAAGTGAAAGGAAATTTACCTCTAGGAAGGGAAATTTACTCTTGGAGTACATGTCATGGGAAAAAGTGTTTCAACTGAAGTTTTATCACCAATCCTTGTTTTCACAACGTTTTCAAGATCCAATTGTCAAATGGACAGAAAGAGAGGTGAAATCTTTTGAACAGGGGCACAGACAATTAAAAAATGTTACAGGGGTATTATTAGCCTTTCTCTATACTATCCAAATCTTTTTTTCCCTTTTGGTTGGAGTTACACTTTTTAAAAGGGCCGCAGTGGTGCAGCAGGTTAAACTGCTGAGCTCTTGAACTTGCTGTCCGAAAGGTCGGCAGTTCATATCCATGGGACAGGGTGAGCTCTCATTGTTAGCTCCAGGTTCTGCCAACCTAACAGTTCAAAAACATGCAAGTGTGAGTAGATGAATAGGTACCGCATAGGCAGGGTGGTAATGGTGCTCCATGCAGTCATGCCAGCCAAATAACCTAGAAGGCATTTACAGACAATGCCATCTCTTTGGGTTAGAAGGGACTTTCCACACCAACGCAGTTGGGGGGGGAGAGCAATTTGCCTCTTCCCCTGAAGAGGAGAATGGTTGGTTCCAGTGGAACCATCCAGAAAAGGGGGCGGGGCTGGCTGACTTTTGTAGCCAGCCTCCCTCTGCATTCTGGCTCGAGCCATCAGCCCACCACGCCCGCCCACTGACAGTATAATTATTTGGTCACCTTCTGGGACTGGGTAGGATTCTTTTGCCCTCCTATGTTCTAGGGGTTTGTTTTTTTCACCTACCCTATGCTGTTATTTGGGGCTAGCCAGGATGGTGCGGTTTTAAATAGGTCTAGCATAAATAGCATAGGAAAACACAAAGATCGCTGTATACACAAGGCACCCCTTAAGGGTGTGGGTCATTACACAACAAACACTCACCTAGGGGTCATCAAATTGGTGAGGGGACATCACATGACCCAGGAACGGGAGAGTCTGATATCAATAATTTGAGACAGGCTTCTCCAGATGTTCACCTTAGAGTTTGCCCAGATTTGGGTTCCAGGGGACGCAGATATTACACCCTGAATAACCGAGGACGCTACCTCAGCTTTGCCACCAAGTTCCAAGACACATAGTTTAGTTCAGTTAAAAGTTAAATGGGTAACATTCAATAAAGTTGCCCAAATTTGAATACAAAACTATTGTTGTCCAGTCTCGTCATTTCGGGGGTTAGAAGGCAAACGGAGATAAGCACCACATCCCAGAGTCGGACTTGACTACACTTAATGTCAAGGGGAAACCTTTACCTTTACCTTATACTTTAAAATGTACCTATTCTGAATTACATACAAACAACCTCACAGAACCTATCTTGTTCGGAACCCTGAGACTGCCTGTATACACAAATATAACAAGTCAACCTCATGTATAAGTCAAGGGCAAGTTTGGGAGGCCAAAATTATGGATTTTGATATGACATGGATAAGCCAAAGTTCATTCCTCAGAAAAAGGAAAGCAATGTGGAACTAACTGCCCCTGACTACCACAGTTGTCATTTTTCCACCCATCCATTCAAAAAGCCAAGAAGCAGCCCCACAGTGGAGAGAGTAGAGGTAGTTGATGCCTCTTTTAGGTTGTCCCAAGATAGAGTAAGCTCTGGACTCTGGCCACACTAACTTGTGGATGAGTCAACCCAATTTTGGGGGAGTGGGTGGAGTTTTTTTTTTTTTTTTTTTTTGGCTAAAATTTCTACCAGGTCAAAAGCACATAAGGATTGACCTGATTGAATAAATGAAATTTATATAAGGGTTGACTTATCAAGTCCCCATTTAGTCATGGGTTTTAATCCATTTGGGGCTAATAATTAATTTGAGACTTAGTGCAATTTCAAATTTAATATCAAAATATAGAAAGACTCAAAAGACATCACTGTAAATATTTCCTACCTTCCTCTCATGTGCAACATCCTTCCTCATTAAAAAATGCCATGATTTTTTTTAAAAAAATCCTGCTTCCTTTATCTTTCAGGTCTCTTATGTCAAAGCGATTGACATCTGGATGGCTGTTTGTCTTCTTTTTGTTTTCGCGGCATTACTTGAATATGCAGCAGTGAATTTTGTGTCAAGGCAACACAAGGAATTTCTGAGACTCCGGAGAAGGCAGAGAAGACAAAACAAGGTACAATGTCATATCCTCAACATGCTCATTAGTCTTTTCAGAATAACTGGTTACACACTTCTGCTTACTTTCTTTTGGTACACACTACCTGAAACTTGTGTGTCTTTATTTTATACAATTTTTAGTACATTTAAGAACTTAGAATGTAAAACAAGAATTCATCTGGTCTTTCCAGTCAACGTATTTTTTTACATAGACAAAAGAAGTCCTTTTCATGGACAAATGTTTAGATTTGAAGAAACTTCTTGCAAACCCATGCCAATAATTGAATTTCAGGCTTGCTGTGAATGTTCATTTCACCTTTAATTTAAATGTCTTCCAAGCACCAATCTTTATTTCATTCATATCAGCACAAATTTTCTCTTTTAATATATATATATAAATTAACTGATTTACAATAATACAATACAATTGAACATACAAAATATATATGTATAGCTCCAAACAGCCCCCTGGTGGTGCAGTGGTTTAAACTGCTGAGCTGCTGAACTTGCTGACTGGAAGGTCAGCAGTTCAAATTCAGGGAGCGGGGTGAACTCCCGCTGTTAGCTCCAGTTTCTGCCAACCTAGCAGTTTGAATATATGCAAATGTGAGTAGATCAGTAGGTACCGCTTCTGCGGGAAGGTAATGGCGCCTCATGCAGTCATACTGGCCACATGACCTTGGAGGCATCAACGGACAACACCAGCTCTTTGGCTTAGATATGGGGATGAGCACCACCCCCCAAAGCTAGACACAACTAAACTTAATGTCAGGGGGAAACTTTTACCTTTACTACCATACAGTTATGAAAGTAAACAAAGAAACAAAATGACTCCCTATATTCCTAAATCCAAAACAGTGAACTAAACCAAATGTTCAACTATTCTGCTCAATTTAAAAATATAACTTTAAAAAGGTCTAATTTTTTTTTAAAAAAAAGGTCTAAGAAGGACCTTTAAAAATGAAAACCCAAAGTCACAGTCATTCCTTCTTTTCCCCCCATAAATGATACAAACAATTCCCAGTCATTTAAGAAGTTATCCAAGGACTTATCCTTTAAGAAATTATCCAAAAATTGATCAATTTCAGCTATTTTGAGACTTTTGTAATCCAGTCTTCTTTGTTGGTAAAGTAGTCTTCTAGTTCCAGGTGTATAATAATTTTGCCATGAGCATCATGTCATCTACTACTTTAAAATCAATTCACCAAAATGTGTTTCCCAATGGCCCCAATAAAAAACCACTTCAAGTTGTATTCTGATTTTTAAAATATCTTGTACCAGTTTTTGTATCATTTTCCAATATTTTTTAGTTTTATCACAGGTCTACTACAGGTGGATGAATAAGCCCCTCATGAGATTCACATTTCCAGCATTAGGCCCCTTATAAATCATAGACAATTTCAATTGAGTCAGATATTGTCACCTTATAAAGATGGATAGATTCTGCTTTGGCTGCCAAGATATGAACTACTTGTTGCATTTCAGTAACTAAAGAGTATTTCCCTTTTTTTGGACTGGAACTGTGGAACTCATTTTCCAGGATGAGCCCACAGCTACCTACTCATTCAGAGTTTTTAGATTTTTTCTTGGTTTTGTTATGATATCACTGCCTGACTTTCTTATAAAGATTCAACACACACACACACACGTATAGAAACCATCCTAGCCATATTATTTCAGCTATCCTTTGCTTGAGTTTCCTTCTAAAGTGATTCACACAGTTCATCCTAATTTTCTCTAACTGTACCATTATTTTTTTGCTTTGTTTTGTTCCATATTTCATTGCAACCATTTCCATTCTCGTTGCTGCTATCTGTTCTGACAAATCTGGAAACAGGCACGGGCTGTGACTGTTGGGAATGAAAGCGTCGAATCGGTACGGCGCGCAAATGGCTTACGGATAAAAGAGGCATCACCATACGGGCCAGTGAATCAGATCTGCAATCAGAGGGTAAAATGAAAGAGAGAGAAAGAGAGAGAATGAGTGTGTGAGATAGAAGTAGTATGGGAAATGGTGTCATAAATTGGCAACTGCCAGCATTCATGGCATTACATTTAGCTGAACTCTCCTGTGAGGTAGACAGCTGTTCTTTGCATGTGGACATATTTGTATGTGTTTCTATCCATTGTACCCTGTCTTGACTGTTTTCCCATTATTGCTTTCATGGCAATGCATCTACCTCTTTTACCATTGGTTCAAAATGTATATGGATAAATGAACTTTAGTTTCCTACAGTGTACACCTGTTGCAGAATTTTCATATGAAGTCAGGAAAAACATTGACTCAAAGCCATAATATATGCAACATAGATTTGTGTGAATTCAATAGCTTGTCTACTAGTGTTTATAAAAAAGAGAAATTGTAGGATTAGCAATTTTAGGACCATGATGTGGGGTTAGGAGGAAATCTGGACCTCTCCTGCCATTTTGACACCCCCCATTGAAATCTCTCTCACACACAAACTCACAGATGTTATTGGCATCAGAACTGAAGCATCGAGTTTTGTCAATTGAGGTTTTCCTCCCACTTCTGGAATTTAATGCCCTACCACAAACACACACTGATGCCAGTTCTTCTTTTCTCAAATGGTATCGATTATCTAATTGCAAAGTATTGGTAGGTAGTTTGGTCCTCAGAAAGCAGGCTTCATCTATCTTGGATGGTATTCCTAGCATGCTTCTTAAAAAATCAATCACTGTAACAAGAAGGTCATATCTAAACATACCCAGTAATTTCAGCAATTGTCATAACAAATATATGGCATCTGAACATGAGAAGAGATCTATTGGATCAACTCAAATTTCCCTCTACCTGCTTTCCTTAAAAGCCATCTGGTGCCTGTTGTAATGCAACAGGCACCATGGCCAGAAGTAACACTGTATCATAACTGGTCATACTGGTTATTTCTTGTAATGTTTTTGAAGCATTCTCCTAAAACCAGCAAGAAAACCATTTTGTATTATTTGAGGGTTTTTTTTGGCAAGAAAAGTGTAGCCTAATAAATTTGAGAGTGCTGAGGAATTTGGATGGGTCAGTGAGTGTTCAAAGAGTCACATGTGGCCCATAAACCGCAGAGGGCGCTTCCACATAGCCCTTTGACCCTTTATCCTGGGCCCCAGAAAGTGTGTGCTTTCTGGGATGGATGTTCAAATGTTCTCCCAGAACCTTCCGGGAGAACACCTGGACACTCTAACCCCCTCCCCCAAAGCCCCCCAAAGCCATTTTAAAAGTAAAAGAACTTACCTGGCCTCCATTACAGTGTTGCCGGAGCTCTCCTGGCATGTAGAAATGACGTGCCAGGAGACCGGGGGGGGGGATTACTCCCCCTCTGCCAGGAGACTGGGGGAGGGAGGAGTAATTTCTATGCACCAGGAAAGCTCCAGCAATACTCTAATGGAGGCCAGGTAACTTCTTTTAAAAGGAGTTTTGGGGACTTTGGGGGAGAGGGTTGGTGGCCTTGTGGTTTTCCGGGCTAATTTAGCCTAGAAAACTGTGGGACTCCTGTCTGGATTGCCCCCTCAAAAGTCCAGAACTTTTGAGGGAGCAGTCCAGACAGCAGAAGTAGTGGGTTTATCCCGCGCATTCAAAGAAGGCGTGGAATAAACCCACTAACAAATTAATTCACCACAAACCAGGGTTTTCCTGGTTTGTGGTGAATTAATTTGGCTTTGCACAGAACATCATTTGGGCAACTTCCTTTTAATTGCAGGAACTCCTGCATTAAAGGGGCTGTCTGGATGGGCCCAGAATTCTCAGCCCTGATCCATAACACTATGTAACATGATTTTTGTCCCTGGGTTATAAATGTCATTTCTTAATTGGTTCTATGATAAAAACATAGAAAACGTTTATTAAACTGTAAAAACTTTCCTGCAGCACATTTTGTTTTAGTTTTTCAATGAATATCTGATAGAACTTCTTCACACTGTGTTTTTAATAACTCTTTTTCTTTTTTGGACAGAGCATCATCAAATGATGCTGGCTTAATCCTACCCACATTCCTCCCGAAGTGGAGGGGAAGCATCATAAGACACTTCCTCTGCCACCACTGGGAGGAAAGCGTTTTTTGGGTTGCTCCAATGGAGCTACCTGCATTTTGTTGCCCTTTCCCATATGATAAGGATAGTGCACCAACACGCCTTTTTACATCCCCACCATATAATGGGGGAAGGAGGGAGGGCACGTGGGGTGACCTGAGGGGCCCCGCATGCCTGCCCTTTCACCAGCAACTGCCAACAAAATGGCAAGGCCCTAGGGGTCATGTGAAGAGGTCCCTAGAGTCTTAACCAATTCAACATAGTTTGTAGAATGAAATTTCTGGATTATAAAAACTACTTTTAAAGTTAAGTACACACAGTAAAACAGGAAACAACACTTTCAAACCAGGGACAGAAGATTTTTCAAATTTTGAATTTTGTTACATAGCGTAATAGGATCAGGCAAAAAAAAAAAACATAAGGGGGCTCTTACTAAGTAACCCTATCTCTATCTCTTGCTCCCTGTGGGGATATAGTGGCTTATACAAACATAGTTACACATTCCTCTCCTTTGAAGAGAAAGCACACTGACCATGTCTATAGGCATGCTCTTCACGGTTGTTTCTGGGGCTGAATCCACATGAGGATCCTGTATTCCAGCTCTAGACCTCAGCATCCTGCCCCAGTTTAACCCTGCTATGGTCACATTCACCTGTTTTTATCTGAAGTCAAATTTGAATTAAAAGCCACAGTTTTCCCTCTCAGAGGCTACCTTGGTACAAAAGAGTGTTTCTGGCATGTTCAGGTTCTCATAGCATCAAATTATTTTAAGTTACACGACTACAACAGCTGCACTTTCTCTTCTTCCTGGTATGCATGCTAATATGTGTATTTATGCATAAATCTATCAATCGATAACATTTCTTTTTTTTTTAGTCACTCTTACCACCCCAATGCATTCTCATTGGATGGCTCCCCCCCCCCCCCATTCCATCCTTTTCCCATCTTGTCTCCTGAATGATTGACTGAGTGCAGGAACTTTAAATGTCATGGCCTAAACTGACTGAGGAGCATTTTATTCTCCTGTAAAAGGACAATGCATGCACAGGAGGACTAGTGGATGGCATGCAGATCAATGGCCCAAAGGCAGTAGAAATTGGCTTTGACAGCTCTCTCTCCCCATCCCCTTCCCCATTGTGCTCCCTGCATCTGCCCTGGAACTCACTCACCAACCTGTCCCACCCTCCAATCACCCCAGTCCATGATTCCGCCCTGATCACGATTCAGGGTAAAAGCACATAGTGCAACCCCCTTCCCAAAAATAAAAACCCTTCAGGTTTTCCTAGAAACTGTAGGATATTGGGATTTTTATAATGTTTCACTGTGAAAAAAAAGGAAAGCCATATTTTCTATCAGCATTGGAATCAAGGTAAGGAGAAACTATTTTGTGGTTGCGGATTCAGCTTAAGACATTTGGCTTGTAGATACATCACCAGGCAGAGGTGTCAGATACCTATATTAAACCATCTGTTTTTGTTATCTCTCTGTGACTGAGAAAAAAGAAAATGGTTGGGCCACACACCTGTAAACTACAAAGCAGGCTTGGTGACCTTGTCCTGGTGGATGAACAATTGCTTTAAGTGGATTTAGGATGCAGGCCTGATATTAAAAATCAGTTACAGAGCTGAATCTCAGTGAGTCCTCTAAAGGCTTTGAGAGAGGAGTAGAAAATGAATTTGTCTGGATTCCAGAACAACTGGTTCAGTGGGAAAAGAAACTCAGCTCATGGGTAAGCAGCACATACTGATTGTATGTGGAATGTTGATATTAAATATACTATTTATTAAAGTAGTGTTGGGTGACAAATCTACAAAATCATATGGCTAAAGATTTGTGTGAATCAAATCCATAACTTGAAGAGTACTAATGCTCTTATAACTAAAACAAAGCTTCCTGAGCTGGAATTATTTTGTTTTTAAGGCTTCTGACAAGATCAGTAAAAATACTGTATTTTTGAGGCCAAAGATTTCTTTTTATTATAAGGGACAGGTCTGCTTGTGTGATCAAAGCTAAAAACTTTGTGCATGCTGATGCAAAGTCTTCTTGATTTTGCTTTCCCTGAATAATTCAATATGCTATTGTTACACATGGCAAGCCAAGCAGGATTCTATCTATTTCCCCAAAGCCTTGGCATCGTCACAGTAGTGAGATTCAACCTTTTGTTTCAAATTCAACAATGTTTATTCTATTGTTAGCCCTCGTGTTGTAATAATACCTCAGACTGATGACCTCAAGAAAACAAGAGCACACTGAGAAGACAGAATTAATTGATCTGTGACATGTGGCCACAAGATGTAGCTCTTCCTCTCCCCATGTTGTTTTCATTTTTGTTTTCATGATGTTTTAACTTATGACCCTAAGGCAAACCTATCATTGTTTTCTAGGGCTGGCAGTGTTTGACAGTCAAGGTCACCCAGTGGGTTTCCATGGCCAAATAGGGAATGAATCCTTGTTCCTCGAACTGTAGTCCAAAACTCCAACAACTACACTGTGCTAGTCACACCTACATCTTCCTAATCCAACCCAATCCAATTAGCATTTCTGCAAAATTTACTACTTTGCCTACCTAGGAGGGAAACAACAAAAGGCTGAAGGCATTTCTTAAGCAATGGCTGTATTACTTTGTTTTCACTAAAATGTAACACACATTTCCTATTTTGTGTGCAAAACACACTAACAAAACAAATTTCCCCAAGCATGGATTTGTCTTGAAAACATGCCATGCTTTTGTCCCCAGCGGTCATGTTTTTATGCTCCTTGAATTCTTGCACATAGCACTTCGTGGTTTAAAAAAATGCCCTGTTTGTTTTATGTAATGTGTCGCATCATGTGAATAATAGAAGTGCTTGAGGAAAACCCCTTTTTGCCTGGACTATTTTTAGCACTCACAATGCAAACTCAAGCATGTGTATT